GACTTAAGTGGGATGAAAGCCACTTTCTGCTCTTCTTGATATTTCTACCAAAAATCTGCAAAGCTACTCAAACTCAGGAGACCCTCTTTGGCCAGATCAAAGAGGAAAAGGCCCAGGTCATGTCAACTCTTGAGGATCTAGTGAGTTTATTCATTTATTTGATAAGTATTTTTCTGAGTACCTGGGCAGGGCTCTTCTAGAACATGAGCAGTATGGTAGGGCATGCATCAGCTGTCCACCTTTCATTCCTTCTCTGCTCATTAGCCCAACTCTCAGTAATTAGGGAAAGGAGAGGATATGCAAGTCAACCAGTTTGTCTACTTGCTAAGGGTTTTAGTTTGTGCAGTTTGATGGCGGAGTCGAAATTGTGAACAGTAAAACCCAAGGCTTCTCTCTGAGAGCTCCTCATCCCAGTTCTCCTTGCCCCCATCCTCATGCGTAAGGGGCTGATGATGATGGTGAGATGGTGAACGTGACGGTAGCACCTCAAGTCCTCACGACAGTGTTCCTAAGAAGGGGAATTCCACTGAGGGGGCCCCAGAGAGCCAGAAGCAGAAGTTCCACAGGGATAACCCCAAGGCGTGGCAGGTGCTGGTGGCAGACTAAGGGACTCAGATCAAGACGAATATGTGGCCAGCTGGTGTGGCTCAGTGGTTGAGCATCGACCTATGAACAAGGAGATGATGCTTTGATTCCCAGTCAGGGCACATGCCCGGGTTTTGTGGGCTCGATCTCCAGAGTGGGGCTTGCAGGAGGCAGCCGATCAATGATTCTCTCTCATTATCAATGTCTCTATCTCTCTCTCCCTCTCCCTTCCTCTCTGAAATCAATAAGAAGATATTGTTTTTAAAAAGATGAACAAGTGATCTGCTCTCGCTCCCTCCTAGCCCCACCCCACTTCTGTTTCGGCTCAGAACAGGACACTCAAAGCTCACCTCTTAATATCTCCAACTAATGCTGCTTCTAAGAACCTGGCTGTCCAGTGTGTGACAAAAATTTTTAAATCCTGACAACAAAAATTACTATTCAAAGTGAAGTATTATTTTAGGGTGACATTATTTTTTTAAATTCACATTTTTCATTTGTTACAACATGTAGCAGCTCTGTGAACACATAGATAAGAGGATACAATAGATATTTGACAGTGTAGTTCTCAGAATATTTGCATATCCCAGAGATTATTTCAGCAAATATACTTAGACTGACCCTATTAACCATTCACAATATTTTGTCTGGAATCCAATTCACACTCTATAGACATGTCCAATTCACATAGTAGCTCTTACGCTGTTTTTCCCTTTAGACTTTATATTAGGAAATAAATCCATAACATCAAATTTCATGACAACATCTGCTCTGGCTGACATGATTGAAAGGGCATCTCACTCATGCCAGGTTATTCTGTTTCTTAATTTGTTCTTTATCAAACCTGAGAGGCAGCCTGTTTCATCCGACACAGAGGATGGAAGTTGCTGGTGCCGAATCCGCAGCCTGCACCGGCCTTGACGGGCCGGAAGGTGACTGCAGACAGTCCTCTGAGCAGCAGTGTTGACAGGAGGCCAGAGACTCACCCCCAGGCAGGACTGGCTAGGCTGCTTGTGCCCAGGCCAGCACTGCCAAGCTAGCAAGCAGAGCATCCATGATCAAGTTAGATGAGTGTATATAATGTGCAATGACCTTTTATGAAAACAAATATTAGTCCTGATATATTAGGGACTCCGATTCTCATACACCACCGTTCATAGCAGCATTATTCCCAACAGCCAGAAGGTATAAGCCACCCAATAGTTCATCAACACATGACTAGATGAACACAATGCGGTCTGTCCTTACAGTGGAGTATTACTGAGCTCTAAAAAGGCATGGAGTTCTGAGACATGCCACTGCATGGTTGAACCTTGGAAACATTATGCTCAGTGAAATAAGCCAGACACAAAAAGACATATATTATATGATCCTAGTTACATAAAATATTCTGACTAGTCAAATCCGTAGAGACAGACCTTAGAGGTCTCCAGGGGCTTGGAGCAGGGGGGAGTTACTGCTTCATGGGTGCAGAGTTTCTGTCTGGGGTGATGAAAAATTTTGGAAATGGGGCAACAGTTATGTAACGTTGTAAATGTGATTAATGTCACTGCCTTGCATGATGAAAAATTTAAATTTTTATATATAACTAGAGGCCCGATGCACGAAATTCATGCAAGGGGCTTGGCCCTCGCAGCCGCAGCAGCTTGCCTCAGCCCTTGCAGCCCAGGCTTCCTCTGAAAGGTCGTCCAGAAGGCAGTCTGGTCTAATTAGCATATTCTGCTTTTATTATTATAGATTATAATTTTATATACGTGTGTGTGTGTTTCCAGTAAATCCTAAAACCAGACAATCAAAATAAAAACCAATATGAATGCTAATTTAAAAGCTGAAGATAGAGAAGACAATAGTGACTATCTCAGAGCTACTCAGTTCAAACTGTCCCAGAAAGTAGCGCATCTGTGCTCTTCCTTGTACCTGCCTGGGCTTCTCCTATGGATGTGGCTGTCTGTTTAAAGCACATACTTGCGGCTGCCTTTGGAGACCTCATCGCCAAGTTTGGAGCGGTGGCGCCTGTCTTTGGCTGAGTCCCCCTCTGGGCCAGCACACCCGACATGAGAAGAAGTCCCGGAGCAAGCTTGCTCCCCACCACGCTCCTGCCTCGAAGAGGAGTCTTAGCATGACGTCACGTTTCCTGCCCTCTCCCCACCCTGCTTCCTTTTCACCATCAGGATGTCAGCTTCACCTACTACACACTAGGAATTCTGTGGGGTTTTTTGCTGGTTTAAGAAGCGTGAAGGGAACCTAGAGAGTATGTGGAAAGGACGGCAGTCTCCTGCCCGCCTCTCAGCCTCCAGCTCCAATTGCTGCCATAAGGAGAAAACGCTCCTTTCTGAAACCGTTATGGGAGCCCAAACCCCGCGCTGGCCGCAGGAGCAGGCAGGCGGGCAGTAAAGTTTCCAGAACCCCAGGGGAGAGACTCACATTCCCCAACCAGGTGCTGGGAGAAGACTTGTGGCTTCCAACCTTGTTGGCCCGAGGCCAGACCTTCCAGGCCTCCCTCCGCCCTTCGGCTCCTTCCCATCATCTTTCCAACCAGAAGCTTGTTAACCGTTTTCCTGTGCTTTTATTCAGATTTCAAGGCGCCCTCTGTGTGTTAAACTTCAAAGAAAGTTGGCTGCGGTGAGTGCAAAGCTACAACAAGTGGAAGCTCCGAACAGCTCCATTGAAAATGGTTTTGTTCAAACGAAGGGGGCTGGGACCTCTTCCCTCCGCCCTCCCCCCTCCCTCTGTCTTTCCAATGAAATTGCATTTGTGCCTGGATCAAGTTGCCCGGTATCAATCCTGAAACTTTTAAAGATGAAAAGCAGAACAGCCGCACCATATTTAAAATGTGAAATGATTACGAAATGGCACCAGGCCAATGTTTATGAATCATTGAATATGATCATAAAATCATAAAAAATAATCACCAAAAGGTAAATAAATTACCCAGCTTACTGCTTATTTTCACGGAGGGTCTGACACAAAAGCTGCAGCCATGAATGATTTATACCCGTTTTAACAATAACACTCATTTTACTGAAAGATGGTCAGCACTCGGGCTGCCGTGGGCCGCATGCCAGTTGTCGAAAGGTTAATGTTTCAGCAGCAATACATTAAATTATGAATAATCCTGGTCCCAAAATGGAAGGTTATTAGCTCAGTATGCTTAATTAGCCCGGCTAGAAGTTGGCCATCAAGGAGCAGTGCCCATTACTGCGGTCCAGCGACGATGGGGGATGGCCGTGTTGGGATGCCAGTGCCGGCTCGGGGGCAGGTGGAGGCGGGAGCGGGGTGGGGTGTGTCCTTTATTTTCTTTACATCCCGTGTAACATTACCAGAGCACCTCAGAAGCTGGTTTTCTGGATTTTGCACTCTCCCGTGGTTTCTCCGTGAAGACTTCCCAGAAAGAAATAGCGGAAATTACCCGGGAGGGGCATGATACCCAGTGTTATTGACCCACCGTGATCGGCTGCCACATTCGCTCGTGACTTCCCAGCTTGGGACGGACCAAAGGAACAGAGGGTACCCTTCGCGTCCAGGCCCATCTGCTAGCACGCACCCACCACCGCCGTTAGTTGAACAGCTACTAGGTGCCAGCTACATACAAAGTAGTTAACAAGTCGTTTTTAGATCTTAGGGTGGGGGCAGCCCTTCAACAGCCAATTAGTGCGTGAACTGCAGCCACGTGACAGCTGGGCAGGAGGTGTAGACCACCAGCACCGCACTGGCGTCGGGAAAGGGGTCTTGGAGACGGCTTCCCGAAGGAAGTGCCATTCGCTCTGATCGCTGAAGGGTGAGCAGGAAGTGGCTGAACCTCCAGGAAAAACTCCAGGCAGGGAATAGCTAAATCGTGTGCCCGAGTCTCCAGAGAGAGAATGATGTTAGAGAAAGATGTTGTCGCCCGAGGTCATTGCCAGCTGACAGGCTTCCTCTCATTGCTGAAAAGGAGGATTGGAAGAGCATCTGCCTGCCAGGGCCATAAAAGTGCCGTTGAGCACCTAGCTTGAATGGGTATGTGTATTTGTGTGTGCATGCGTGTGTGTATGTCTGTGTGTGTGCATATGTGTGTGTCCACACCTGGCCCCACAACCACCCCCTTCCCTCCCACCATCCTGGGTGCTCCAGCTTAAGACTCGAAGTGTGCAGCCAGGAGCAGGGCCCGGACCCGCCCAGGCCGCGCTGGCTGCATCCCGCTGTCTGCACCACCGCCCAGCTCTACTTAGTACTATTAGTAGCTTGTTTTTCTAAGCCCTAAAATTCATTTTCTTTTCCCGCCTTGCTTCCAGAAAAATAAATAAAAGTGAACACATCACTCATTTAAGACAAGGAATGGAATTTAGGTTGCGTTTTTCTTTCTATTTTTATGATTAGTTAGAATTTTCCTGGGAACGCGGCCAGGAGGGCATTATGGTGAGATAATGTCCTGTATTTAATCAGCGCTGCAATGGCGAGCTGCGCTCTGCGGGGAGCAGCCGAGTTAACGCATCCTCCTCTGTCTTGTCTGTTTCCAGGGTGCGACGGGTTAGCCCAAGATGAAGACCAGGCTGAGAGGTGGCCGGGCTCCAGGCTCGAGTGATGGCCCCCGGGTGGACAGCATGCAGCCGTGACTCGCTCCCTTCATGCAGGACCCATCTGCTCCGGGAGCCCTGCGACCCCCAAAGGAGCTGAGCGACAAGGGCCCCCAAACTGACCCAACTGACCGACCCCGGTCTTGCATCCAGTGGACACTTCTGGCGTCTTCCTCTGCAGCCTTCAGACGTCTGCTGGCCTGGACGCACTCCCCGCTCTCCAACGTGCATCTCGCTCCTTTGCAACCCAAACGCAATGTGTGTGGGGGCAGCGCACGGCTCCTGAGTGAACCTGGCAGTCAGCAACAGGTAGGACCAGATCTGCTCCTTCACTCTGCGTGCGCCTGGTTGGCCAGAGGTCCCCAGAGCCTCTGCCGGAGGTGACAGCTGGTGCTGCGCGGGCTTCATAGTTGTTCTTGTTCCCCGAGGTGGTTGACCCATCGAGGAAGAATGAGAGTGCCTGGCGTGGTAAGACAGAGAAGGGTATCTGGGAGAGATGTCTGCAAGAGATGTCTGAAAGGAAGGAAGAACAGGAGGAGCTGGGGGAAAAGGAGGAGGGGTTTAACCTGGAGGAGGGGGCCGGGAATAGGTGTGTGGACGCAGACTGACCTTTCTCTGCAATTCACGTGGTGGCCAGGGAAACAGGAGCACGTGGGGCCCACAGAGCGGCTCCCCTTTACCGTGGTCCCTATTAAACTCGGGGTCTGCGGGCGCCGTCTGTGCAGGTGAGGGCACTGGAGAGAACAGGATGCCCTGAGCAACCCATAAATAGCCGGGCGAAGACAGCGTGTTTATTACCTAGCCTCACGGAGCCCATATAAGCACTCTCCCAGGGCGCGAGAGAGCCAGGGCGCGTGTGCACCGGCCCGCGCGTGTCCCGGGCGCAGGCGACCCCGAGCCGCTGTTCGCGCTTGGCTTGCTTCTCTGAAGGCGGCTATTTGACGGAACGGACTGGAGCAGTTCATAGCCAGCCCTGCAAAGCTTGTGTGGAGACAGACCTTTCTTTTTCTCTCTCCTTTTCCTGTTTGCAGTGAGAATGAGGCCTTTCTCTTCTCGGCCCTTTGCTCTCCCCAAAGTTGTCTCACGAGGTCATTGCCAGCTGACAGGCTTCCTTTCAGTGCAAGGTTTGGATGGAAACAATGTTCTGTTTTCTGGGGGGCTGGGAAGGCTCCGGGCCTCGTCCTGCCCTCAATTTAAATGGGTTATTGTTTTATCAGGGCTGTCAGTTTCTGCAGACAATTCAGTCTATGTGAGGGAAGGCTCCTCTCGGTGTGGGGGGGTGTGTCTGTGTTACCATGTATATACAGACCGTTGATACCAAGCAGCAGAAAGGTGGTGTGAGGTCACTGTGTTTGGTTTCTCGCCACACTGGACCACTCACTAGCTGTGTGTCCTTGGGCAAGTTGCTTACCCACTCCAGCCGGGCCTCTCAGCATCCTAGTTCTGACCAGTCTGCCTATAAGATACCCTCTAACTCAAACATTCTTTAACTCTGTGATTGCAAGATATTACATTACCATGTTCAACAACGAGCTTAAAAGCACTTTCTTTGAATAGCTTCGGTGTCTACAGAACCGATTTCTAACAGCTGTCGGGGATGTGTGCTGACTGTTCTATTGAATCTCCTGAGAAGGCTGAATTTATTGGTTTGTGAAGGAGCATGGAAAGTAGACGCGATCTGTGTTGTCAAGTTCTAGGGCCTGAAAAATCCTCATAGATGAATTCCGGGGTGTTGGCTACAATAACCTTCGTCAGCACTGGGTACAAGTTTGAGAATTAAGAAGCACTTTTAAAAGCTATATATGGGGAATTTTTTTAAATATATTTTATTGATTTTTTACAGAGAGGAAAAGAGAGGGATAGAGAGTTAGAAACATTGATGAGAGAGAAACATTGATCAGCTGCCTCCTGCACACCCCCACCTGGGGATGTGCCCGCAACCAAGGTACATGCCCTTGACTGGAATCGAACCAGGGACCCTTTAGTCCGCAGGCCAACGCTCTATCCACTGAGCCAAACCGGTCAGGGCTATATGGGAAATTTTTAAATGAGGACCCAGCTCTTCAAACTCTTTCATCCGATGAGGATGGCAAATAGAGAAAAGCAATTCGCCAAAACTGAGGTGGACAGTTTTTGATCATTATTAATGATGACAAAATACAATAACATCACATTTCCGAGGCCTCCAGGGAAAGTGGTAGGAGTGTGACAAGACTTAGTAAGGCCCGGCCTCTGGGCTTGGAGGCACCCTCTGGCACCGCCAACCTCTGGCTGTGCCGGCGGGCTCTGCAGGAGTGTGGCCAGCACAGAGCTGTGTGCCGGCCTTCCAGGAAGGTAAGTCTCTGGCGAGGCCAAGAAAGAGGGATTCCCGGGGTTCTGGCAGTGAGCGCCATGGGAATCACATCCCTGCAGCCACTGAATTGCCGTTGCCAACCGCTCTGTAGCTCTCCCCAAGGTGGGCTCCCCCAGACTGGCGAGCCAAAATCCTTTGGGGAAGAGCCTGACACTGCTGTCTGCCCGGTTGGTGGTCTTACTGCTTCTTTAACCTCTCTACCTACCTCTTCCCTCCTTTCCCTCTAAAGACATTCATTGAACGTATACTATGCGGCAAGTAGTATGCGAGGCACACGGTACCCATATGCTCAAACAAATGGCTCCTGAGCTCAAAGTACCTCCTGCCTCATGAGAGAAATAATTAACTAGAAAAATAATTGCCCATATAGCTTAAGTACAGTTATGTGCACTGAACTTGGCGAGCAGAGAGTAGGAAGCAAGGGGTTCTCAAGGAGACGTTTCGGGTAGCTGTTGATGGAGAGGGGCAAGATATTCCCAGGAGAGGAAACCCAGCCTATTTGGGAATCATGGGAAGACATTCTGAAGGTCACACGGAACTGTCTGGGGAGGAATCGCGGCTGCCGATGATGCTGGGTGCCATCAGCCTCAAAGCAAACACAGTTGGGTTCAGGAATATTTCTTCACCCTTAAACCCTACAGACAAATCCCCAAGTCTGAACGTTGGTGAGGGGAATCTCCAAATATTGCCAGTCATTAATAAAAGACTTGATGATCATTATTAAATTATCAGCCTCTTGGGGTCTGCTGCTGCTGGTTCTCTCTGGCTATCACCCACCCCAGCCCTCCACTATGGAGATTAAGTGTTCTGACCCCCCTTTCAGAACCTATGGAGGGCCAGGGCTCCCCAGTAACTGGCCAGTACCATAGGGATTCCAGGGGTGGGCAAACTTTTTGACTCGAGGGCCACAATGGGTTCTTAAACTGGACCGGAGGGCCGGAACAAAAGCATGGATGGCGTGTTTGTGTGAACTAATATAAATTCAAAGTAAACATCATTACATAAAAGGGTACGGTCTTTTTTTTTTTTTAGTTTTATTCATTTCAAACGGGCCGGATCCGGCCCTCGGGCCGTAGTTTGCCCACAGCTGGATTAGACTATCAGGGTTAGAAGAGCAGTCTTCTTGTGATAAGACAAGCGCCTATTCGTAGTTCATCTTCTGAAACTGTTGTCTCAATGTTTGATCTCCTGAGCCTGTACATTTGACTGCCTTGACCTTCAAGACCTACTTGATAATGTTCTAAACCTCATTTGATTACCTGGACTTGTGGCCCCTCCATCTACCCTGACTTGCCACACCCACCTGGTCCCTAACGCCCTCTGTGAGTGTGGAGTGCTAACCCTCACCTCCCACTCATTCCTCCCTGACCTGCCTTACCCAGGTGACTCCTCCTGTATTCTAGGCTACATGTAATCATGCAGATGGTGAGTCCAGGTATACGAAGTGAAAGAAATCAGAGTCTAACTTGGCTTATAAACTTCTTGTCCCTTGTAAGTTTAAATACTTCCTGATCTTTGAACCACATTAAATATCATAATGTGTTAGAATTTGGCAACACTCACCTTTACTGGAAAGAGCCCAGCCTGACAAGAGCAACAAGATCTTGTCCATGAAAGAAGATGTGCGAATGCCACTTGCTTAGAGAGTCCCATGGGGTTCTTGTCCGTCACCCCGTTTTTAATTAGAGCTGTAATCATCTCTCAAGGGGAATCTGGAGGCTTCATTAAATCTACCAGCTTCCCTGTGATGTAGAAAACTGGTGATGTTTAAAATCTTGGCCATATCAAAAATAATAGCAAGTCGGGGGGAGGCGGGGGTGTGTCTGCCATCCAGGGCTTCGGGTAAAGCGAGTCACCTTTCATTCCTATAGGACCCAGACTTGCCTGCAGTCGGCACAACAACCACACCTTGTCCAGCTGGAACATTTGCTTAATGTCCTCCTTGAAATCCTGAATATTTACAGCCTCCAGTACATCTTCCTAACCTGTTGTTCAGGGCCCTTCTGTGACCATGAATGTGGCTTGTTGCTGCCTCTTGCACATTTCTACTGAGTCCGCGTTCCTCCATCTGCCCTCCAGTGGAGGTGACCGAGGGCCCTTCCAGTAAGTGACTCAGAGGTCAAAGCTATGGGTATCCCTACTGCTATTCAGGCTGCCGATCAAACCAGTCCACTGGGCAGAGCTTCCAGGCTTGGTACCCTCATCTCACCATAGCACTAAGTGCCTTGCAGTGTCTGTCACCTGTGAGCTACTTCACAGACCCACAGCAGGTCCATGACCCTTTGATATGGATCTGTTGGTCTTTCCAGGTTTGGGATCAGAATCATAGCACTAGACCAGGGACTCCCCAAAGTGGTGCTCTTGATATTTTTTTTACTTGAAATTTTTATGGAGATAATAACTATTGGCATTTTGAGCCAGATAATTCTTTATTGGTGGAGGGAGGTTGGCCTGTGCATTATAAGATATTTAGAAGCATCCCTGGCCTCTACCACTATATGCCAATGGCACCTCTATATCAACCAAAAAATGTCCCAGACATTGCCAAATGTTCCTGGGTGGGGTGGAGGCAAAGTCACCCCCCACCCCCAGTTGCGAACCACTTCCCTAGACCTCATGCAGAACAGGTATGTGGAGCTGGGCTGTGTGGCTTTTCCAGTAGGGGCATGTTCTGGAGTGTTTGTCAAGTGTTCTCGGGCCTGTAAGAAACAGGAAAGACAAGATGTGACCATGAAGAAAGTCACTTGACCCGAGGAAACCACAGAACTTCCCCCCATTCATTTATAGTTGTTTACCCTCGCCATCTTATACAGCAGATAACTATCAGATGTGTTAGCAGTTGTGATGTAGAAGGAAGCTAGATCTCCGTGTCCCACATCTCATGACCTATTGATACACTTTGTCTATATCGTCTCAAAGGGTCTCATTAGACTGAAAACCATAATCAACTTGTTTGCATGCTATGCTGACTTAGGTGGCTCCAGTAAGCCAAGGTTTTTTGGAAACGCTTTCTTATGTCTCATTTGGCTATTGCCACAGATTCCAGTAAAGTTGTGATGTTTCAGAAATTGTGTCATCATTTCTCAGTGTTTTCATCACACTTCATTTCAAAGATTGCCTTTATTCTAACAAGCTCATTTGAATGAACAGTGACTAAGAGGGACAATTGGGCCTGTGGAGATCTGTCCAGACACACCACTTTCTTCATGCCTGAGGAGCATAGTCTCCTAATATTCACTGTGGAGTCTGCTTTCATCTTGTAAAAAAAAAGCATCCATTCAAAGAAAACTCACTGAGTAGGACATTGTGTTCATTACCTTATGATATTTAGGGACCTGTAAGACACAACTTCAGTGTTCAAGAGCTCTTTGTCTAGTAGTAGAGTCAAAATGTGGACAGGGCCCAGCCAGTGTGGCTCAGTGGTTGAGCATTGACCCATAAACTAAGAGGTCACTGGTTCCATTCCTGGTCAGGGCACATGCCAGATTGCAGGCTCAATCCCCAGTAGGTGGTGTGCAAGAGGCAGCCGATCAATGTATCTCTTTTATTGTTGTTTTGATCCCTCTATCCCTCTTCCTTCCTCTCTCTCTCTCAAATGAATAAAAACATGTTTAAAAAGTCTTTTTAATGTGGACAGGAACATCTATAGTACAAGTCAGGGCCCTATACCCTAAGTTCCATAGGTGTTCAGAAAAAGGCCACAGGAAAAGAAGGTGGATTCTGCACATTGCAGTCCATTGCCTGGCCACAGAGTCTACACTGCATGTGTAAATGGCATGTAAGCATGCTTCATTTCCCTCTGACAGGGTTGATATAGACCAGTGGATCTGGGAAATATGGAAGACAAAGAACATCCAGGCTTTACCAAGGCAGTTGGCAACATGACAAATGACAATTTGTCCATTGACCTCATGGGAAAGAAGGTGAAGTATGAGTTTGTTAGTAATTGGTTGACTATAGTTGTGGAGGGGGTTCTTGGTGCTGGGACATCAAGATTTTGGGTCTTAATCCATGTGTGGCTGTCATGAAGCATATGTTGCAGAATAAAGAACTCAACAGATTTTGATAGACTGAGGCAATGCACTAATTCTAACAAGATGAAATATAGTACAAGAAAATGGAAGGTCTTGTCTTTGATCCAAAAACCCATCTGCACAAACACAGGAGGAGGAGGCCAGGCTTGGCAACAGATGTTGAGAAAGCATTTTTTCCAGATTTGTATGTGTTAGGAATCATCGAGCATACTCGTTTAAAACATAGATTCCAGGTGCTACCCCCAGATTGTCAGATTGAACAAGTTTGAGGTGGGCCCAAGAATCTGCATTTATTAAAGTTTCCTGGGTCATGCAGACATAGAAGCTCCATGCACCACACTTTGCAAACCACTGTCTTAGAGGTTTAAGTTAACAGCAGAAGGATTCAGCAGCTGTGCTTAGCAAAGTGTAATGAGGAGAATAAAGGAGGTGAGAACCCTGCTGTATTGTACTAGGCAGAGCATATATATAAACCTACATTTACTCTTGGCCACAACCTTTTAAGAGACAGTCAAACTGTAAACAGGGAGGCAAGGGAACTCAGGACTAGGTCATGTAAAGAAGAGATGAAGGAACTGGAAGTGCTTAGCTCAGGAAGTTCAGAGAGAAGGTAGGACAGGAAAAAGATCGTCTGCATCAGGGAATTAAACATGCTTTGTGTGGTCTCTCAAGATGACACTAGAACCAGTGGACAAATCTGTTAAGGAATCAGTTTTGGCTCAAAATAATGACCATCCTTCCCCAATAGTCAGAGCCATCCACAGACCTGGAGGTGTTCACCCATGGCCTGGAGAACTTGTGTGTGTGTGTGTGTGTGTGTGTGTGTGTGTGTGTGTGTGTGTTTAGGAAGTTGGGTAGTGAATGGAAGGGTGCATGTTGAATAGGTGATAGGATCCAAGGAAGTTTGGTTTTTAATAGGAGAGAATAGAGTATGTATAGGGATCCAAAAAGAAATAGAATGATTAAGGAAAGCTATGAGAGCAGGGGCAGGAGCACTGTTGGTACAGATGCAGAGAGAGAGAAATACATGAAAGAGTAGGGAATTGGAGGGACCTGGAAGGGTTGGGCTCTAGAGCTCAGGAAATATTTGCATTGGAAGCAAAGTAGAATAGGAGAAAGGAAGTAATGGTTAAGGATACAAGGCATTTTGTGGTGTGAAAGGTAATCGCCTAAAGGTAATGCAAAAGGCCAAGTTGATTAAGTTCATTCCAATCATGATTTCAAGTAACAAGGGGTTAAATTTTTTGCCCAGAGTTAAGAAAGAGTGGGGTTGGTGGGGGCTTGAGGAATGTGGAAAAGGTGTGTAATAGCAGGTTTGGGAAATTTGCTGACGAGTCAGCAGCCACCCATGATTGGCTATTGCATTGTAGAACTTTGTAGAGGGTGCAGTCAACTTAAGTTCTTTACATCCCCAGCAGTGTCGAGCAGACCAGAGGCCTAAGCAGTCTAGGCTAGGAATCAGCATGGTGGACCAGGGAAAGGATGCAGGAACATAAATTTCAGGCTCACAGAGGTTGGTGAATACCAAACTTTGACCTGTTAGGGCAATGTGAGTTTTCTGCATCTGAGCCTTTAAACAAGCATCTATCTCCATTAAACTGAGAATCCCCAACCCTAGAGATACCCAGAAGTGCCTGAGATACCTGAACTTCATGTCAAGGTAGTCATCTTCATGCTTCCACCTTGGTCTTTATAGCTTTGGGGCTGTTCTGACTTACAGGGTGTATCCATGCTGTGTGTGTTATGGAAATGTTGGGTTTTTATTAAGCCCCAAAATTTCAATAAGTGTGCAGACCCTATAACTCAGGATATAAGGTATAAGCGATGAAGTTTTTCAGGTGTTTTCTCCCATTTTTTCTCCTTTACTTCCTAGTGGATTTTCAATATATTTATGGAAAATATGACTTTGTCTTGCATGAGACTTACAAGATTGACACAATCTGAAAATTCACCATACCTGTCCTTGCCCTTGAACCCATTCAATCCAGAAATCTCTTAGATGATACCCAAATCCATGACAGAGATCTGGAAATAAGCCTGTGAAAGCAGAGGTCTTAAGCCTTGACCATTTGCTTCCTCGTTGTTTTCTGCATGATCAGCTTTTAAATATTCTATAAATACTGGTAGAAACACCTTTTTAAATTAAAAAATGTAGATTTCTTGCAGGGTAAAAAATTTTATAGGAGTACTCTTATTATTGGCTAAAATTGTGGGAGAGTGACTTCATTTTTAAGATTGTGGAAAGACTGAAAAGAACCAGGATTAATGCCTTTACTTTTAAAAAGGGAAGTTTGTAATATCCTAATCTGGAAATTTACCTGGAAAAAAATGATCTCCAAATCATTTCTAGAATAATCTGCAGTGAATGGTGTGTTGGGAGCTTATATCACTTGTCAGAACAAGTCCTGTCAAACTGATTCATTTCTTTCCATGAAAGAGTAACAAGATTTTAGTAGATTGAGGGGAAATGATAAATGTAATCTATATTTCATTTAGCAAGATGCTTGAACCTGCTCCATCCAACACCTTGGTCGATAAATTCAGAAAATTTGGGGAATGGCATTAGCTGTCCAGGGAGCAATGGAGCTCCCATCCTGGGTCTGAATTTAATGGCACATCCTTTTCGAGAGGCCCAGCAGCAGGGGAAAAGTTACCTGAGCTGCTTTAAGAGGAAGAAATGATGGTAACTCACGCCAAAAGGATCCTCGAGTCCTGAAAAATGTAGTTGATGTGTTTGTCATTCGTGGTTTTGATTATTTAGATAGGCTTGGAAGATTGGTTATGAATATATTTTTTATAAAATAAAATACATGCTGGCTGCTCACAATCATTCATACACCCTGATTGTACATCCTTCTGAAAATTCCCCAAGAACTCCCTGACAGAATCAGTTCTCAGGCTTCTCCATCACCAAAGAGGGGGGAAAATAAGAGGAAACAATAACTCTGAAAGCAAGTGAGATGTGTGGAAATAAATCTGTCATACTCTGTAATTCCAAAAGGGAAAGATAACTTCTGGAAATTCTATTCCAGCCTAGGAAAGTCTGTTGCTAGAAATGGTAAGGATATTAGGTTGATGATTATTCCCTAGATTTACATATCCCCGCCGTCGCGGGGATCCCAAGCACCTTAATAAGTTATGTCATTTTTAACTATCAATCTTCACAAGACCCCCCCCCCACCCCCTGAGGAAGTCTGGTGGGTGCTTGCATTCCTCATAATTCAGTAACTTTATGGCTGGAATTAGATATATCAGATATCTGTACACGGAGAAAGTTTGTCCTTGTTAATGTATTTTTATCTCATTGCCCCATTCGCCAATATTAATAGATTACACTCAGAGCCCAATAATACCGAAGAAGAGTATCTTAGATGTAAGGCCTTCTAGCTCAGGAAGTACTTCTACAATTATTTGATCTTCACACTCCAGCCCAGAAGTGCAGACACGTTACTAGTATCAGGATACTATGACTCATTCCCACCATGTATTGAACACGCCAGGTGCCAGGCATTGTGCTAGACACTGTAAATCCACCCGCTCAGCCCTGCGGGGTGTGTACTGTCACCTCCAATTTACAAGCAGGAAACACACTCCAAGGATTAAGTGACTCGCTGGAGGCCGTTTGGCTCTCCGTGGCAGAGCTGGGACTACAACCCAAGTCTTTAGTGATTTTTTTCTTAAAACTCTCTTGATTCTTCTAGGTAGGGAAGGA